ATATGTAGAAGCTTTTTTTTGCGCTGTCATTTTACATTCTTGTTTGAACATATTGAACCTTGACTTCAATCTGCGTTGACAAGTTGCTAAAGCCCTTCAAGTGGAACATAATAAACAATGCACATTATTCCTAGTAAATAATGAAAGTTATTCATGCATCAGTTTCAATGAATGATAAAGCATGGATGAAATCCTTTGATAAAGCGAAATAAAAAAAAATAGTAAAGTTCTTCTATGTGCTACAGTATCTTTACTTCTGGACAATTTTGACATGGCCTGGATTGTAAACAATTCAGATAAATGTGAATTATTGAAATGTAAGCGTTGTAATAATTAATGATAGTAATATTGTCTGGCATATAATGCAGCCTACAAAATTTCAAGTTGGCATTCCACAATTTTTGAGAATATTGACGAACAAGAATTGGCACAGGTTTTTTGGCAACCTATAGTAGATTTTCCATGCTTCAGCATCCACCGTATTTTACACTGCAATCTGAGGCATGGTTTCCACTGAGACAGATCGTACCGGAAACTACATTTATGTACGTTGTACCCGAGGAAAATTTGCCAATCGTAAAACAAATTTTTTGTAAAATATTAATAGGCAATAATATATAATCCACATGCGACTCCTCTTTCTACTCTTTGCCAAATGTGGGCCTCTTTACTATCTAATAGTAGCAAAGTTGTTGTAGATTTGTAAGGGTACAATGTGTTAATGACTTCATAAACTTGAGTATTTGTAAAAACACGGAGGATTGAAAGTTGGCAAGTTTTTGCTGGCCTATTTTTATCCTCATTTTGGGCCTTGCGGGGACTTAGCAGGGGATGTAATTTCCAAAATGGTTACATGCATGTGAGAGTCCCGGCCACCTCCTAGCAATGCGGAGCATCGTTTTAATGTACATCCCCGGCTAAGTCCCCGCCACACCGCCGTAGTCCTGGGAAAATGCCTCGCTAATAAATGATTGGAGGATAAAACCTACTTGAAGGTTTAGCCTACAGTAGGTCTGAATCGGAGAAGCAACGTGAGAGCTAGGCCAAGGAGATGAGGTTCCTTGATGGAAGCACTACGCGTGCGTATCACTTAGCAGTTTCCATGGAAGTTTGGACTACAATTGACAAGTGCATAATCTGTCTCTTATACACATCTAGATGTGTATAAGAGATAGATTTTTCAGTGGGATTGAGCACTGTTTCACAAAAAACACATCATTACGTTATATATATATATATATATATATATATATATGTATATGTATATATATATATCATTATGTTATATTTATATAATTATGTGGACATGAATTATACTTTATGAGCTGTCAAATTTAATATTTATTTTTGTGTATAAAACATAAAGTTAAAGGCAATAGTTTTAGAGTGTAAATGTCGATTTATTAATTATTTACGTACAATTATCATTACTGAAGAGGTGAACTACATTTAACTAGGCCTGTCGATTCGACGTTAGTAGTATACAGCATTTTACTACTTTGTGGTCTTTATTAGATATGGAATTCAATCAGACACGCTGAACTTATCGTATGTTAACTGGTGCATCCAGGGAGACAATATTTAATATTCAGGGATTAAAGAACTCTCTGCAAACGATATTTTATAAGGTGCTATTAATGGTGAATATTTCAAAAAGTCAATGAAGCTGGCTTACTAATGCATTCTCAACTTCACATATCTAGTCGCTATCGGCTAAGACAAGTAAACACACGACGTACGGTATATATTGTCTGAATTTTTAAATACCGTATTTTAAAAATTTATATAAGGTTTCATATGTTATAAAAAGTTAATGATGCTGTGGCTTATTAATTCATAGTTTCAACTTCGCATGGCTAGTCGCAAGGAAGACAAATAAACACGCGCATATATCATCAGATTATTTTTAATACCATATTTAAAAAAAAATTAATTTCTTAGTCTATATGTCTCGACTCAAACGAAGTTATTTAAGGTTATTAGAAAATGGGCATCCGGCCGTGTGCGACATCCATTGATTATGATAGCGCGTATGTTAAGATGTTTACGCATTCCTGACTGTTCAGACGTAGGTTTCTTCAATCACAGAATTTGAGAAAGAAAATAAATATAATAACTTTTGATCGTTTTACATACAATTCAGTACTTTTTAACCACAGAATATCTTGATCTTTGCCTATTCTTTAGATTTCGCAGTATACCTCATGCTTACTTCCGTAAAGCAGACGGCGTGTTACTCCTTTATGACATTGCTTGTATAAAGTCATTCATGAATGTTAAAGGATGGATTGCACATATACGGGTAAGTCGGCTATTTATAGAGGGCACACGTATCTATCCACGACGACGCTTGCGGCGCCCTTGTCTTTTAGTTAGCGTTAGTTAATCCCAAATCTGAGGACAAATTAGATCACTAAGGAGATTGAACAGTTTAGCTAATTGAAGTAAAATAAAGTTAACCATTTTATGTTTAGATTGCTGGCCCAAGAGAAGTCATGTATTCTATTTTATACATCAAAGTCATTATACATCATTCACACTCTAAATTAAATATTAATTAGGCCTATAACATATCTGAAACCAGGCGCCTATACATTTGATATCTTTATCTATTAATGTATATATCTGATAACAATGTTTTACCTGAATTATATTTTAACAATAAACATGTTGTTTATTGATACTGTCAGTGGCGGATCCATATTTTTTGCTGGGGTGGTGAGAGTGGCAATCAAGGACTTAAGGTCTAAAATTGGTCATGAGTGGTGAGAGAAGGTTTTGGGGTGGTCCCTTATTCATTGTGCCCAGGGCCCTGGAAGCTTCGGAGAAGTTTCAGTCTTTTAATTAAAACGGTATTACACTTAGTAATCGCCACTTTTAATATCCCTGGATCCGCCACAGGTCCTTCAGAAATGTAATTTATTAGATAAAAGTGTTCAGTGAAGAAGAAAAATGCTCAGTAGCTTCTCTTGAAAGAAAGATCCTTTTTCTATGTTTTTTTTTTTAATAAAAAAAAAAACAGCTGGAATTAGAATATATAGTGTATACGTCTTTCCAGCATTTGTTAGGATAAAAATAAATGTTTAATTTCAGTATCACTGTACACTCTCGCATAGTTCAGACTAATGCCTATTAGAGCATTACTTAGCACTGGTATCACGTCACAGTCCCAATAGGTTTAAAATAACCCTAAGGACGGCTAACCGATTAGGCGGAATGAAAAATCGTTCTCTACTGTAAACATGTTTATCATTATCGATCAATTTGTTGAAGACACAACTGATACTCTAAAGAAACGAACATTAAAAAATAAGAATGTGATTATTTTCATAGATAAAGTAATACAATGTTCAACCACTAATAATATAGTGATACTGGGATTCGAGAAAATATTGTTGGAGCAAACATTGTGGGTTATATTTAAGATATCAATCAAATTAGGTTTCTCCGCGAACACTATAATGGAATAATTTAGAATACCAATTACCCTGTATTAATGTCAGAAAATAATGTATGAACTAAATTAATCAAAGATAACTTTGTACTATAACGCTCACTTAAACCATACTGATGGGACTAAAATAAGTAAATTTCTCTAAGAAGGCAGTTAATCTGGTACAAAATAAGTTTTTCAATAATTTTATTAAGTACAGCGAGAACTGAAATTTGGTGGTAGTTCCAGGATTTTCTCTCGATCCTTTTTTGAAAATTGGTTGAACTCTAGAATGCTTAAATAGACTAGGAAACTTACAACTGCTGAAAGCCAAATTATAAATGTTCTGTAACATTGTTCGAAATATTTTACATAATACTTAATTGTTTATAATAATAATAATATAACCCCTCTAGAAATAAATCCCGTGTTGGAATTTTAAAGGTTATTCCCAGATATCAACAAAGGTGGCTTTGCATTCTGAATTTTGTTCTTTGTATTCTGGTTATCCGGTTTTTGAGTTGTTGTTAAGTTAATATCAAATAAGTCAAATCAAATCAAATCAATTAATAATAATAATAATAATAATAACAATAATATTATTATTATTATTGTAATTAATAATATTAATTAAAGTATTAATTAAATATATAATAATAGTATTATTGTATTTGTATTCTATATTTTTAGAATATTTATGTATCCGTTTGTTGTTTGCTTTCCAACCAATAAATGGCGAATTTTTTATTTGCTGTTGGATGTAATCTACGGTGGTTATATCAGACATATTTTAGTTATGTTCTGAAGGGAATTTGTGGTACATACACCATCTATGTTAAATGAATACAATTATCCAGACCGTCCAGAAATTAACCGAATTGTTTGTTCTTAACAGACAGTACTCTTGTTTTCTATAATCCTCATTCCAATGAATATGAACGTCATCAATTAAATTTGTGATGCAATGGTCTTTCATCATATATCAAAGAAATCCTGCAGCCATTGGTATTAATGACGTATCTATTTCAAGAATTATTATCAACTGTACCAGATAGACTATTCTTGAATAACATTCATTACTATGCGTTTATCATAATTACTTAGGATGTTGACGAGAACGCAATACTTATGATAGTCGGCAATAAAGATGATTTAGCACCCAAATACCGAGACGTTGATACTGAGGCAGCCATTAAACTAGCTGAGGTGAGTCGACTCATATATATATATATACAGTATATATATATATATATATATATATATATATATATATTTTTTTATTAAGATAAGAAAAGATGAGATAGACGTTACTGTCATACATACATTGGTATGATAGACACTTTTAATGTGGTTGTAGACGCTTCTCCAAATGGTAGGCATAATGAAATCTAGACTGACCATACTTGCTACCAGTTTGATCCTTCTTCCCTTACAGTAGGTACTGCATTTTCTCAATAATAATTAAGCCTAATTAATATTTTAATTGTTTTTTAGTAATAAAAGTGTGATGTATTCCAACTTCGTAATCATGGTCAGCCCTTGCTTCGCATCTAAATAGCCAAGCGTTATCGCAGTTTTTTCAATTTTCTTATCAGATAACAAAATAAAATTGAAATTTACAGAAAATGTAATACGAAAAGGCGTTATTAAAATTAAGATTGGCATTAATGAAACATAAATGGCACATTATTATTATTATTATTATTATTATTATTATTATTATTATTATTATTATTATTATTATTATTATTATCATTATTATTATTATTATTATTATTATTATTATTATTATTATTAATTAAGCAGTAATTAGACATTAGTAAAAACTAAAATCTAGCACCTACGTAAATATTATTAAAATACGATTAAAGGATTATCAATAATATAAACAGGGGATTGTCAGTAACATTATGTACATAGAAAACCTATTATTCTAAATAAAAAATGTTATTTCGGATTGACACTTTTTGTCACCATTTGACCTGTAACCTCCATCGTGTCCTTAGCTATTTAGTTTGCGATACTGAGACGAGACAGAATGAAGAACAGTGATGCCTTATCACTAATGCTGTAGCCAGGATTTTTAAACAGTGTGAGACAATATCAGGGTGGATTCATTTTAAGCAAAAATATGAAATCATGACCCATTTTCTTATGTTTACCCATTTTAGGCAAAATATGAGAAATCTGGACGCATTATTCAAAAGGTGGACTCATTTTATGCATAAAATGCATAATTTGGACCCATTTTTTGGAAGCATTGAGTAATTCATTGCAATTCTCGCATTCATTGCTGAATGAATAACAACTTGAACTTGTTTTGTCTAAAAAAATCAGACCGATATTTGACAAATGGTGCAAATTGCTGAAAATCAGCTCTTTTATGCAGTTTTTAAGTCTTGTGCAATTCAGCATAATGACGCTGCGAGTTATTCTCCTACCTTTCGAATCGATTAATGCAGGTAATATTGATGAATAGAATATTTTTTCAGCGAAACTCATCTCGAAAAGAAGCTCATTATGCCTAAACTGTTACTATTTACATGATTGCAGGAAAATGATGCCTTCTTTATCGAAGCGAGTGCAAAGACGGGCAACAACATATTTGAAGCCTTCGGGAAACTTGCAAGGTAAAGGCAGATCATTTACGGTACTTCAAAGACGTTCACATTTAGAAAATACCATTAAAAAAACATGAACAGACTTGAACATATGTAGCCTACAAGTAGCAAGAATAATGATACATCGTATATTGTGCTGTCAAGAACATGGCTAGCATGCCCTTAAGTAGATTAAATTTGCCTGCATGACGTAGTATGAATGGCTGAGTACAATTAATTTTAATATGATCGATAATTTTTTTTTCAGAGAAATACAGATAAGGGAAGATGACAATGTCAGTCGAGTGTATACGTCACTTGTCGACCTTAATCAGGAACTGCCATACATGAAGAAATCAAAATGTTGTCGAAACTGAAATGAGCTACGCCAGTAAACTTTGTTTTTGAGTAGACGAACCAACAGTATTGGAGAAAATCACTCGACAGTAGACATATAATGAATATCATGTCAATGTTCACATAAGCCTACTGTTTGTGAAACATGTTGGTTTCGTACGGTATCAGTCATCATCGATGCCACCATATGATCATAATCATTATCGTCATCGACAACACCACCACCATTTCGTCGTATCTCATCACTGTCGTCATCATCACCACCATCAATACGGTCAGCATTATCATCCTCATCATTATCGTAATTTTCATCGTCATTATCATCAACATCAAACAAAGCGCCTACCGTCTTCCGACATTAGTGCGTTCTACAAATTTTCTTAAGGTAGAAATTTGAATCGAACGTCAACTTCGATAGAACTACAGCAATGAATTAAGATTTTGTGAAACTATTGAACGACGATTGAGACTTGTAGGCGTATTTTATAGGGCAACTTAATAGGTTCTCATAACTTATGTAGTTTTTGCATTCATGTCAGAAACACGTAGATATCTGATGAATATGTGTAGTGAACGCTCATGACAGAGACTTTAATTGATTATTGCACGTGGAACAGACGCATACATACATGAATGTGGACATGGTCTCGAGATAGGAAGACTGTATAATGCATTGCCGTTTCGCTATTGATGGTCATGCAAACTTTTGCATGTATACGTGTTCTGAGGGTCCCAATTGATCAGCTTTGGCTGGAGGACCACTCTCACAATATGCTGTCGAAATATAATCAATAAATGAAATAAGATTGTACCAGTAACTTTAAAATGAACAAAAAAAAAGTAAAAAAAAGACTATAGCTTAACAATACTTCTGAAGCCTTGATCGTCGTATGCTTGATAATTTAAAATTCATCCTTCGTTTACGCTGTGTCCTTTTTAAAGATGACACAGTACTGTAAATGTATTTATTACCGTGAACAAATTCTTGCTCATGCATTTTTTTTTCCTGATTGGCGAATACTTTGTATATCTAATGAAATAATAGGGGATAGTGCAATAAACGTCCCACAATTTATAGAGACAGAAAACGCTTAAGTTAAAGCTGTAAAATATTAGAAAAGGGTTCAATATTGTAGATGGCGTGGTAAATTTTAAGGATGTATTTTGTTCATTTAAGACAGTTGGGACTGAATGACTAAGTGACAATAATACAGTATGTTCATTCAGTGTTTTTAAATGAGCTATGTTACCAGTAGTTTGCTGAACCTGAACACTGTGTGTGTACAAATGAGTAGCAAACTATATGGAACAAGGGCTACTGAAGAGTAACAGTATTATCAATTTTACAGCACTTAATTTAGGAATGTAATTTCTGTTTCATACATTCAACACAATTTAGCAAGAATGACCAAATGTGAATATGTTTATTCAGTGTTTTTAAATGAGCTAGGATACCGAGTATTTTGCTGAAACTGAACACTGTGTGTCTCAACAAATGATGTAGCACATTATATGGAACAAGGGCTAGTGTAACAGTATTACGAATTTGACAACACTTAATTTAACAATGTAACTTCTGTTTCATACACATTTTGGCGTTTTCTGTTCTATTGACAATGTGCGCAATGAGACTAATTCTTGACGTACATTTGCGTATTTCGATATAGACCTACTTAGGCTCCTTTTGAAAACTCTTCCACTTTTGACTGTGCTGAAATATGATAATTTAAACATTCCATCAATAAAGAAATAGATTACATTTCCAGACCATTTAAACGATACACAATTCCAAAATTCCAGCATTTGTGAATTCGAAAACTTTATAGAAAAGATATTCATGATACAGGCTTTTTATCATGATGTAACATTCTTCCAAAATCGTTGATAAGATTCTGAGAAGCACTTTTACTGATCTGACAAATATTTTTGAAACAGACATTAAGGTCCAAACTGTCCAGATTCTGGATTTGTCAATGTCCGATTGCGACATAAAAGTTTATTTTTCCGCCTAACCGTTTTTTTTCCTTAGGTTTTTTCTCCCACATATCTTCATTCAGTTTACCATTACGAAACCCGACCACGCCCACTTATTTTTGATATCCCATTACCTTAGATAGAAATTGTTCTATTGATGAATTAAAATTATTTTCAATTTAAATTTTGGTTAGAATCATTCGGTTTTAGTGTTGTTCGTCCTTTTTTCCCCTTTTCCATGTTTGGATCTGTGATACGGGGTGGAGGTTGCCAAAATCTCTAATGCAAACAAGGTCTTATTACACCAAGTCCCTCATGCCATAATATTTATCCCTGCCCTTGTAACATCACTGCTATTATTTTCCTGGTTCAGACTGCCAATGTTTCTTTCTCCAGGAGGAACCACCACTATTGATGCATTCCTTTACCAAGATTTGTCTGTAATCTATGACCATCTATATTCGTCATGTTTAACATTCTAAAACTCACTTCAGCAGTCACGTAACCAGGAGGAGGGGATGGGGAGGTGCTCACAGTACCTGAATCCGAGTTCAATGGAAATAAAGGCAAAGCAAGTTACATTAACATTGACAGCCAATTTAAGTCATAGGCATCGACATGCTCCATCCTAGCTTTGCGCCTTGCGTGAAGTTCAGTGGATGTAATATTTCTATTCAGCATTCCCTTTCAAAATCCTGGATACGCCACTGCTTGAATGTGGTTAATTGTATAATACATTAGAATAAAAATTTAATAGCAAAGCATGTACATATTCACGTTGTGTTGTAATAAATGTGATAACATTAAACATGTACTATATAGATATTAAAACGAGTGCGAATTCCTTTATGTCCATCATACACTGGTTTATTTTTAAAGTTATCAACCAATACATATACAAAACACTTACAACACTGTTTAAAAATTGAGTACTGTGTTAAATAACAAAATGTTATGAAATTACATTTTGCATAAATCGTATCTATGACATAGTTATAGATATTTATATGGTTTGTAGATATATGAGAAATTTCTATATATACTAAACCAAATAACTTGAACTGACCTTTGCTGACAGTTTTAATGCTCATTCCATTTGTGAAATGAACATCAACACAGTCAGCAAAGGTTTGGTAAAAAGAAATTTCTTGTACTATGATCTATGACAAGTCACATTTGAGGCATGTCGTGGCAAAATGGTAAAGTTTTTGCACAGGCCAGTAAATGAGCTATAACATAATGGGAGCTCAAAAAATGACCTAAAATTTTTTTTTTTCCACTATAGATCAAAGTTTGTTCTGGAAATGTTCAACATATCCTTCATTTAATATTCAACATATTGTTCATTTAACATTATTTTGGTAGTTTATTAAACAATGTATGCACAAATAACATAAGGCCAAAAGAAAAATTGTTTGTTTGCCCTCCTCCACTCACCCCTAACTCACTGAAAAAAATTGGGGCGGAAAAACAAAAATACTTAAAAAAAGTTTTTGTTTTAGCTTTTTTCTTTACAAATTAAAAAATTTATGACAGATACATGAGATTTTGTTACATGTTTTATACACCTTTGTAACTTCGTGTCATAGAAATCATGTAGAGACAGTACGAATTGGCAGGTCAACTTACTCAGGTACCTACATGTCACTTGTGCTAACGTAGGTGTTAAAATTTAAATTGGTGACATTACTCAGTGATCTGACTTGTAAACATGTTTTTAAACATGTTTATGAGTTCTGTCAGAATCAATGTGCAGTTTGCCAATTCAATCACAATTTTGGAAAGCAGATCGAATGACTAAATGACATTTTGGCACTTTGTTTTTAAGAGATGGTTCAAATGGGCAGAACTGATGGCACAAGACTGCTAATCCCTGACAACATAAACCTTACCATATTATGTAAGTGCACATGTATACATGTAAACTGTCACGTGTACATATAAAATGCAGATATATCAGAAAAAAATACCCAAAAGTGTTCTTGAAGAATGTACCAATAACCACTGACTGTTTCAAGAGTTGTGGGAGCAGCTCAGTAATGGTTCAGGATTTAAATTTTTAGGATTTACAACTCGTTAAATAAATCATCTGGATCTTGATCAGACTGGTTTGATCTTGAACTTCCTGTCCTCCTCATATGTGGTACATTCTTGGAAGTAGATGGAGTCCTGTTATATAAAAAAATACTAATTAATATAGTAAACAGTGTTTTTTTTTAATATAATTTTTAGAGAATACAGCAACTTCCAATTTAAATACAAATAATTTTTAATAAATATTTGCACTTTCAAATAATAATTTTAAAAAAACAACTATAAATTAAGATATTTTTATTTGAAATAATAAAAAAACAGTGATTTAACTTTCTGGTGAAAGCAAAATACACAGCGAAGGATTAAAATCCCAACCCTGAGTTTGGGAAACCAAACCGTTCCCAACCACAACTTACTGACCCTGATTTCCAGCTGTTAGTTTGTTTGGATAACACACCCCATTTTTTGGGCCTAATTTTTAAAAATACAGTACTAATACCAACCTAGTTGGTGTCTGCTTTGCAGTTTTTGTTGGTAATATTACAGAGGATTCCGATTGTTTTTTTGGTGCAGTTTTACGTATTCTTCTGTAAATAAATATGAACGGTAATAAACAAAACAGTTCTTGTAAATATTGTCAAAACATAATGATAATCATTCAATCATTTGAGGCATGTTGTCGCAAAATGGCTAAGTTGTAGCAAAAAGAAAAACCTGAGTATGTGATTTTTAAAATGAGGGGTCATTCATTCAAATTGGACATTTCAAGCCTAAGTTATTGGAAAGTGAAAGTACAGTACTCTTAGAGTCAAGATAAATATGATTTTGAGTATAATTGCCTTTCCAAGTTATTGTGCATACATTGTTTAATAGAATGAACTATCAAAATAACGTTAAATAAACAATTTGTTGACCACTTCCAGAACTAATACTTTGGGACATGTTTGATAAGATATTATACTTTTGATCTATAGTGAAAAACAAATTTGGATTTTGAGGCAATTTTTGAGCTCCCATATTTTATAGCTCATTTACTCAATACTGGACTGTGCAACAACTTAACCATTTTGCCATGACATGCCTCATTAATTCATTTCACTTGCTTTGAGTTAACCTACGGTACAAAATAGCAAATGGTGACACCTATCGTAAGCCTCGGCTTGTAAATTATAGGTACGCATGTGAACTTTGAACTTTGTAAACTACACTTGAGAAAGAAAAATAAAATAAAAATTACAATAATTACTATCAACAGAGGACAACTTTGATACAATTAGGAATACATACTAATTATTCTGAATGAGTGTTCTTAAGTGTCATTTGAATGTGATTATAATAATAGGTCGATTTAGAAGGTGCTAATAAACAAGATCTCTAAGCGCAATGTACAAATAAAGAAGAGGTAAGGTGAACGTAAATATAGTAACTGATTAAATTATGGCACTTTGGAATTATACTCTGTGAATGATAAAAAAAAAAGTCCCTCTGTTGAGTAAATGCTGTGCACATTCTATTTGAAGTAAAGCAAAGCAGCACTTAATTTGGAGTAAATTTTACCATATCAACACATTTTGTATATCATAATACACTATTCAACAAAACAATTACATGACAAGATAGGCCTTTACAATGCTTAGAGGAGGAAAAACCATGATATTTCTAACCCTTCTGATCTTGCTTCAGAAGAATGTTGAAGTTCTAAACTCGTTCCACTTAAGTTTAGATGCTGTAATTGTCACTGGGATGGAGGGCAAATAGTGCATCAAACTCCAAGGATGACTATGATAATCTAATTAACATGGAAGACTGCAGGCTAGTGGGACTTCGAAGTATTGAGTGTATTTATATAGAGAATTGCATCTTTGAGGAAGTTTAATACAAGGTAATTAATAAAAGTCATAAACACCAACCCACCTTTTTGATGATGCAGCAGCAGCTGTGGGTTCTTCCTCGTCATCGTCCAATAGGAGGGAATCATTCCCTGTCAATTCAACTTTCTGTTTCTTTGATTTCTGCTGCACTTTCACATTCTAAATCAGTGTAAAATAATTTTTTTTAAAGTAAAGTACTGCATTGCAAAAATACGTACATATATGGGTGTGAATGCTTTGATATTGTAACAATAGACGCTGGAATCATGTGACACTGGCTGAATTTCAATGAAAATGCTGTGAGGTGGACTTTGATGTGATGTCATCATGACCATATTTAGGCATACAGTATCTCATGTTTTTGTCTGAACAGGGCTTAATAAATTGTGATATTTTAATGATGAATGTATTGACCACCATCACAGTAACCATGATCGTCATGACTACGATGATGATGATGATTATTCATCATTTATTAGTTTTATTATTATATGTACTGTACATATCTTACTGTGAGTTCATCATCTGTGTCCATTTCTTCTTGGTCATCATCCTCCGGTTCATCGCTACTATCATTTCTCATTGTGCTTTGATTACTTTCATCTTGCTCTCTTTTCCTTCCTCCATCAACATTTTTAACTAAAAAAAAAAAATCATTATCAATTCAATTTAAATTATTGACACTCAAAAAGCCATCAAGGGCTATTACCCGCAAAATTACAAACATAAAATGGATACACTGATGTAAAACTGGATGTGTTAGAGTATTAAAAAACTAGGATGTAATTAAGTATAATGGTGATGTTGATAAGGATGATGGTGATGACTTGATAAATGTGACTTACGTTCTTCTTGAAGCTGCCTTATTTTAGCTTTCTTATCATTCACAATCACTTGGAACTAAAAAGAAATATACAAAATTGATTTGATTAAAAGCATTTGTTATCCATGATTTCTTAAAAATATAACTGAAATCGAAACAAAAATACTTTTGATTCAATTGCTAAACTTGCTGTTAAAAATTACATTAAAAAGTAATTTTCATTAAATAGGTTAAGATTATTAATATTTTTCGTAATTGTATACTCATTATAAAAAAAGAAGTGTGGGGGCTATGTAATAAGTCTCAGTGGTCTTTAGAACTTCTTTTTGGTTAATCCAGAATACCAATAGTACAACAATTAGTAAATTCCAAACCTACTTTTGAATACAAGTCATTTTCAAGGTCTTCCTTAGCTGTAGTACATTGTTCCAGTTGTTGCAATGCTTGTTTTCTTTCTTTGGATAAACGACTATTTTCTTTATCCAGCCTTCGTATGTTTCCTTTCAGGGTTTTTATTTGGTCAATCGCAAACTTATACAGCTCGTGTGTAGTTGCATTAGTATCATCAACAGCCGTGAGGGTCACCGAACCAAGTTGGAACTTTAAAAATGAAGACATTTGATACATCGTATTACATATAATAAATTCCATTGCATTATATACACATATAAAATAATGAATGATATGATATGGGATGGGGATAATGACTTTCTCAAAAATGTATCATGATCTTATTTAGAACATTATATTCCTTATTTATTTTTCCTTTACATCCAACAGCAAGTACCACTCACCACTAACAGGACTCAACGATGCTTTATAAGTCAAGTCTCTTATTGAGGCCTAGGGGAGTGGAGTTGTATTTAGTTGTGAGAAAAAGTCCTGTTTTTAGAGGAATTGATCCCAGGACCCTGGGATTAGAAGGCAAGCATCTTAACCACTAAGCTATTACACTTTACATGCTATACAATGTATATTCCATGATTAAGGCTCTGTGCATGGTATAACCATTTTTTTGATGTGGGATAAATAAAAGAAATTTGTCAGCGGAAACACAACATTGTGGATAGAACATAACATGTTTATCAATAACCAAAAAGAAAAGCATATCTTACTTTTATATCTCCCGAAGCCATCACTTTCTTCCAATAAAATACCCTATCCAAGCCACAATCTTTTACCTGAAAGAATCAATAAAAATGACAGCATTGTTGCACTATGCATGTTTGTTTACCCAATTGAGAACACACGAATATGATCACCAAGTCCATCTCCTGAACAGTGGCAGATCTAGCAGTCTTGAAATGAGGGAGGGGTGGAGGGGGTGTGGAGTGAGGGGCCTCAATGATTAGGTGAGGGGGGTCACAAAATAAAGAGAAATGAGATGATTTTTAACTACTTGAGCGTGATTTTTTTTGCTTCAGACATTTTCAATTGTAATTAAAGTTTAAGAGATAAGTCTTTAATATTTTGGAAGAGATCTTACATCGTATTGAAAATGTTTCATTTCCTGCTGTGTCATAGCATTCATTGTTTGTTCTGTGAAATCATCCACACTCATGTTAATGGCCTCAGACAAACTCTTCATATAATCTTGAGAGACTGAAAGAAATGGAATACTATTGAAGTTCTTTGCTGGCTAAAAATAATATTGCATACCATAGGGAATGCTTTATTCCATTCAATATTTTTCATATACAATAGAAATAGTAGCAGTTATCTTTCAAATAATTAACTTTAAACAAGAAAAAAATTTATAT